TGCTTAGAGGGATTTTTCCTTACTTCGATTATTTTCTCGTAATTTCGATTATTTTGTTGTTATTTCAAAAACCCTGAATTTCGAAATTTTTCTCGTTTTAGTAGTTTGACAATCCACTAGGAATGTTATGATTTTGAGTTTGACAATCCACTAGGAATGTTATGATTTGAGTAGTTTGTCAATCCACTAGGAATGTTATGATTGAGTAGTTTGACAATCCACTAGGAATGTTATGATTTGAGTAGTTTGACAATCCACTGGGAATGTTATGATTGAGTAGTTTGACAATCCACTAGGAATGTTATGATTGAGTAGTTTGACAATCCACTAGGAAAGTTATGATTTGAGTAGTTTGACAATCCACTAGGAATGTTATGATTGAGTAGTTTGACAATCCACTAGGAATGTTATGATTTGAGTAGTTTGACAATCCACTAGGAATGTTATGATTGAGTAGTTTGACAATCCACTAGGAATGTTATGATTTGAGTAGTTTGTCAATCCACTAGGAATGTTATGATTTGAGTAGTTTGACAATCCACTGGGAATGTTATGATTGAGTAGTTTAAAATCCACTAGGAATGTTATGATTTTAGTAGTTTGACAATCCACTAGGAATGTCATGATTGAGTAGTTTGACAATCCACTAGTAATGTTATGATTTTAGTAGTTTTACAATCCACTAGGTATGTTATGATTGAGTAGTTTGTCAATCCACTAGGAATGTTTTGATTTTAGTAGTTTGACAATCCACTAGGAATGTCATGATTGAGTAGTTTGACAATCCACTAGGAATGTCATGATTCAGTAGTTTGACAATCCACTAGAAATGTTTTGAGCGAGTATTTAGGGAACCCAGTATGTGTATTACGACCGAGTACTAGTATTTAGACAATCCAGAAGAATGTATTTATTAAGTATTTACACAATCAAGTACAAATGTTATGTTATAGTATTCAGACAACTCAGTTAATTGTTCTGAATATTTAGAGAGTCCAGAAAAATAGAAGCGTCAAAGCCATTTCCACAATAATAAGAAATCTCTGCCAAATGCAAATATTAATCATATGTGACATGTATATCGACCTCAGATATGTCCCCACCTTCCCTTGTGTCCCTCCGTAAATAACCTTTACAATCTACTGTCTACGAACACTGTCGAACTACTTGAACATACTGCCTTGTACATCAGTATTTACCCTGCTCTGATATTGATAATAAACAAAAGCCACAAACCCTTTTCCATAATTATAAGACATCCGTAAATAGAGCCATTGTACGATTCCGACTATATTATAAGCATGTGTTTATCAATCATTACTAATAAGTGATGACACCAGGTGTTCGCGAAAAGGTTATCGTATCCTGTACCACCGGTGGCACCCGTCACAAACACATGCAAACACAAGTCAAGTGTTCACCGGAAAAAAACACGGGAACATATGATACAGGTCAAAATAGGGACATGCATCGGACATTGTTTTGGTCTCCGTGGGGTCAAATTTGAAAATGTCCTCCACATGTCTTTGATTTTTAAAAAATGAGCAAGAGTCGTATGACCCTCCAAATCGTCGGAGAAAGAGAAAGCTCGTTTGTACCTCAATGGTTGTAAAATGTAAACCCCAAACGCTGGAGCTGCTGGAAAATTGTTCGCAATAAAGGGAAAGTTGACGACTATTGACATTCAGTCTTGTGCATACGTTAATGTCTCCCTGAGTCTTTATACATAGGCCTAAATATGAACAGATGAGGGACCTTCACTTGCGTGTTTATTTCTAGTTCAGGTGGGCAAATTAGTTGAAGGGAATTGGCTATTGGACCATAAATTGACCATATCAGATCATCGATATACCTGAAACTTAAGTCAAATTATAGACCCAATTCCCGGGATTTTGCAATTCCCGGCAGAAATTTCGATTCTTTTACATTACGAAACAGATCAGCAAGGAAGGTGAGTGAGTATTTTCTGCATTTAAGCCTACGTCTTAATTTTGGAGTGAGTGAGTGAGTATGGTTTTACGCCGCTTTTAGCAACATTTCAGCAATATCATGGCGGGGACTCCAGAAATGGGCTTCACAAATTGAACCCATGTCAGGAATCGAACCCGCGTCTTCGGCGTGACGAGCGAACGCTTTAACCACTAGGCTACCCGACCGCCCCTCAGCAAGGAAGGGGGCACAGATGGTTCCTATGGGGATGCCCCGTTTTACCACCCAATGTTACCGTATCTACCCACAATGTAGGCATATCTCCAGACAATGTTACCGTATTACCACGCAGTGTTACCACATCTGCACACAATGTTACCATATCGCCCCCCTATGATACCGCATATGTACAGAATGCTATCATATCACAACCAATTTCACCGTACCGCACCCAATGTTACCGTATCTACACACAATGTAGGCATATCTGTACCTAATGTTACCGTTTTACCACCCAATGTTACCATATCTACACACAATGTAGGCATATCTGCAGCTAATGTTACCGTTTCAACAACCAATGTTACCAAATCACCATCCATTTTACCGCATGTTCACCCACTGTAAGCATATATGCATCCAGTGTTACCCACTAGCCACTTAATGCAACACAATCTAGTGTTACCATATCTCCAACCGATGTTACCAGATTAATTATGTGTTACCATATCTCCACATATTGTGACACTATCCCCAGCCAGAGTTATCGCGTGAACTTAGTGTTACCATATCTCTTTCTTGCTTTAATCTCCAATATTTCACATTAACGTATTGTTTTCTGAGTAATCTTCAGATGACATTTGCTTTCATGTTTGACAACTTGTCCCGAACCTTTGAAGATAGTGATGTAACTGTATCCAGGGTCACCATATCCATTGACATATGCATGGATCAAGGAATGAACTTGTTCTTTGAGTTAGTCGTGTGGGATATTGGTGTCTATAGTTGAACATGGTTCTTTTCTGAGACTGCACGAATTAAGCAAATCCAACATCAAACTACAGAAGCTTGACTTCCTAAACCTGTAACACCTCGTCGCTAAACCCCAGCCGGGTGTATTCCGCACCGTGCCCAAACATATCCCTGCAGTCAGATCACGGACCATCGACCCTCAGCCGTCGCCTCCGCCCCGCTACCACCCACAACGTTGTAATGGTGATGGGGCTTTAGTTGACATTAGAACTCAGTGGAGCGGTCTCAGTCAACCTTCACGCCGGGTTTATGTAGCGATACCAAGGCTTAATGTCAGGGTGATCGTTCGAACGACTGCACTTCTCCAGTGGGGTCTTCTCTCCATCGGTTCGCGAAATCGGACCACCGGGTGAGTGAGTATTGTTTTATGCCGCTGTTAGCAAATTCCCGCAATACCAGCCAGAGTTATCGTGTGAACTCAGTGTTACCATATCTCCACACAATACACTATCCCCAGCCAGAGTTATCGTGTGAACTCAGTGTTACCATATCTCCACACAATACACTATCCCCAGCCAGAGTTATCGTGTGAACTCAGTGTTACCATATCTCCACACAATACACTATCCCCAGCCAGAGTTATCGTGTGAACTCAGTGTTACCATATCTCCACACAATACACTATCCCCAGCCAGAGTTATCGTGTGAACTCAGTGTTACCATATCTCCACACAATACACTATCCCCAGCCAGAGTTATCGTGTGAACTCAGTGTTACCATATCTCCACACAATACACTATCCCCAGCCAGAGTTATCGTGTGAACTCAGTGTTACCATATCTCCACACAATACACTATCCCCAGCCAGAGTTATCGTGTGAACTCAGTGTTACCATATCTCCACACAATACACTATCCCCAGCCAGAGTTATCGTGTGAACTCAGTGTTACCATATCTCCACACAATACACTATCCCCAGCCAGAGTTATCGTGTGAACTCAGTGTTACCATATCTCCACACAATACACTATCCCCAGCCAGAGTTATCGTGTGAACTCAGTGTTACCATATCTCCACACAATACACTATCCCCAGCCAGAGTTATCGTGTGAACTCAGTGTTACCATATCTCCACCCAAAGCTACCATATCTCCACCCAATACACTATCCCCAGACAGACTTATCGTATTAACTCAGTGTTACCATATACCGACTCAATGCTACCACATCCTGACCCAATGTCATCATATTAATCAAGTGTTGCCATATCTCCACACAATGTAACACTATCTCCAGAAGACCGCCTCCGTGGTCTAATGGTAGAGCGTCCGCCCGGAGAGCGGAAGGTCCGGGGTTCGATCCCCATCCGCGTCATACCAAAAGACGTTAAAAGATGGTACTTGTTGTTACCCTGTCTCGCGCTCTACATTAAGGGGCTGTGTCTGAGTGGGGTATTCATGTTAAACTGCGGTATCTCAGTGTGCCAGCACTATAAATCGGCATCAGTCCGGACTAGTACAAGCAGCCACACACACATACACGTGCATGCACGTCGCTATATAAGTGCAATAATCTTGGACGCGACGTTAAACCCCATTTCACCTCACCGCACCTATCTCAAGACAGAGCCACCCAAACCCACCACATCCTCACCCAATGTTACCATATCCCGAGCTATACTGCAAAAATCACCACCATACAAGGTAAACCAAATGAAAACATTAGTGAACTGTATTGAGTACGCCACTCCATGCATTCTGACGATTCTATGGTTACTCCACCCCTTCCTGGTGGCATTTTAATTCGATACCTTTTGAAATAAATCGATCATAGATCCAATTTCTCAAGCGCAATATTGCAACAAGCAGCGGCTTGGAGGCATTGTCGTCAACATCTTTTTACCACTGAATTGATCTGAAAAACGTCACGGCTGATCAACCCCGTTATTGCGCGCCATGGCTTTTAAAACATCTTAGAACCATGGTACAAAAAATAAAAATTCACATGAATATTTAAAAACAAATACTGGAAGCATTCATTGATCGTAAAAGCTGTAGAATGTTTTATACCGAGACAGTCGCGAGCTAAGCAATCTTTAACCACGGATTATGGTGTGCAATACATTGGTAATTGGAGCGGTCCTGGCACGGCGGTGTAAACCATTCAAACAGGCTTGACGACCTACAAAGATCAACATGCATGTAAAACCGACTCGGCATTGATTTCATTGAAAGTGTTATCTCGTCCCGGGGCAGCGTACACAGAAAACCACTGTCAACAGCGGCAGACTAATAATGAGATTTTCACGCAGATACAATTCAGTATTTCTATAAGGGACTCCATAAATCTTTGTTCGGATAAGACGCAGCGAAATACTCACAACCGTCCGAACACTGGACTGAGTCCACTTATGTTGGTCAATAAGGGGATATTCGCTGACCAGTGGTTACCTGTATTGGACCGATCTTGATAGTATGTCTCAAGATTTCTGATTCGGTGTGCGACAAGGCGATCACTGAGAGTGCTCCGCCCTTGACTTTTTATGCTAGGATACGGGCGATAGAGCTACTGACTTCTGCTTAGCAATCAGTGGACTTGTTTGCAGGTGTTGGATTGTATTTAGGTAAATGTCACTACCTTAAGTGAAGAATTTAGAGCGCACTCGGACACCTGTTGAAGTGAAGAAATAAAACACCGAGTGAGGATTGATTTGAAGGAAGGTAAGAGATGTTTATCAACACTATAACTGCACGTCTTTGTCAAAAACAATATTTCTCTAGTCCAACATTTAAACACAACCATAGCATTATAGAGAGCCATAACTTGTGAAAATTGTTTGGACCACTTATCTTTGGTATTTGCTTCTTATATTTGCTCATACATAGATTTAAATAAACATAATAATACTTAATCGTTCCTGTTTTAAGGTCGAAAACGTTGATAAAATACTTTACTTTGAGGAATGGTTCGGATAAGGTTGTCCCAGCCACATAACATTACTTTGTTCCTGTTTTTGAGAGAACTCTTCGACCTAAAATGTGACATCAGTTGGCCAAAAACTTCGCCTTCCGAGTATAAATCACTGAAAACGAAAATTTAACCAATTAAATCGTTCACTTATCCGGAAAATCCCGTTTTCTGAACTAGGATTACCTTATCTTATGACGAGAACGACTAAATAAACATCCTTTGTCAACAAGACTGAGTTTTCCGGGTAAACTGGGTCCCATAGTACGTCAATTCAGTGTACTATGTAGGATGTCAAATTGTTTAATACCCATAAATCAATCAGCCACTCGGGACATTGTAAGCTGACATTTGTGCCAATATTCACGTCTTTACCATGGAACCATAAACATTTAACTGTAAGTGTAAGCATTCTCCTCAATAACACAATTAAAAACTGTATAGCAACCAATGTTACGATGGGACCATTTTTTCCTATCAACGAAATCCAACAAACCGCCAGTGAGAAAAGCCTGTCGTTCTATCTATTGAAGTGTCATGGTTAAAACACGTAATCACATAAAGTATTGATTTCAGGGGAGGGATACAAAAAACCGTTCCGAGTGTAAGTAGCCCCAAATTAAATAATGGCTTAGGATTGAATAAATCAAGACGGAAAATACATAATATCTACCCTTGTGTCAATATTTGTACAGTTTAGTCAACTTTATGCTGTAAGAACGTTCTATGTGGCTTTCCGACAATTTGTGTTGGCTCGGGAAGTATTTGTTGATTTAACTGAATACTTATTATGATCATATGAGGCAGCACATATAATTGCTGCAGCTGGGGTCGTATAGAATTCAGCACACATGGTGATAGTGTGTTAGATAAGGTACCACTCTCTCTACCTGCGAACTGAAATGTTATGAGGCCTGTGAAGTCTACCGGTTAATGATGACTCTAATTACATACAGACAATGTTAAAGTTTGGAACATTGAACTCATTTCAACGTTAACACTTAATTAATTCAATTAATTAATTAATTCATTCATTCATTCATTCATTCATTCATTCATTCATTCATTCGTACTCTTACCTGCTCGGGGGCGGTCGGGTAGCCTAGTGGTTAAAGCGTTCGCTCGTCATGCCGAAGACCCGGGTTCGATTCCCGACATGGGTACAATGTGTGAAGCCCATTTCTTGTGTCCCCCGCCGTGATATTGCTGGAATATTGCTAAAAGCGGCGTAAAACCATACTCACTCACTCACTCTTACCTGCTCGTAAGGATGACAATCTACCGTAGATTGTTCAGCCATCTGAAGACACATGTGCTGGTGCAAGAATTTCCCCAGCCAGATTTCAGCAGCCATCCGTGAACCCGACCTACCTGGTGTTGAAATCAATGACCGTTTCTCTAACTTCAGCTTGTCATCATGTTGTATGTCACTATGTAATTATTTAGCACAATGTAACGTGATACAGTGATGATAGAGATGGAGACACACATGAAGATGCTCTAAACAATCTGGTGTTAACTGCTGGTTCCTGGCTAATTCTACCCTAACAGCCTCATAACAGGAACGCAATTAGCCGTACAGTCCACCATGACCCTGTCTTATATGTGTTAAGATGAGTGAATAAAATTAAAGAGAGAAAATAGTATTTCCATAATCATAACAATCTTGATTAAAAGTCGAGTCCTTATAGGTTGGTTGGTTGGTTGGTTGTTTAACGCCGCACTCAGCAATATTCCAGCTTTATGACGGCGGTCTGTAAATTATCGATTCTGGACCAGACAATACAGTGATTGATATTATGAGCATCGATCCACGCAATTGCGATACGATGACATACATCAACCAAGTCAGCGAGCCTGACCACCCGATCCCGTTAGTCGCCTTTGACGATAAGCATGGTCGCCTTGTACGGCAAGTATTGGTTGCTGAAGACCTATTCTACCACGGATCTTCACGGGTCGAGTCCTTATAGGATCCGACTATGTCATGAGCATGTGGTTATTCTGACACCTAGTATCTTTGACCTTTGACACCTGGTGTCATCCCTGGTTTTCATTGGCCCATTGATACAATTATCACGGCCAGCTCATCCCTTACGCTAAATGGAATCTGCTTCGGCGGATAATCAAGACTGGTTAATCTCTTGCATTGACAATATATATTTATGAATCCTATCAAATACTGATGCTACACAACGGCGTATGTAACAAATAGAAGGATCGTAAGTGAGTCACTATGTAAATAAACATCACAGCGTAAATGATAATGAAAAACCAGGAGGACAAAACGAATATCATTGTTAACATAAATATATAGAGTAAGCTTTCATCACGTTGAGATAGAGGTGAGGTGAGGTGAAATTGGGTTTAACGTCGCGTCTAAGATTATTGCACTTATATAGCGACGTGCATGTACGTGTGTGTGTGTGGCTGCTTGTACTAGTCCGGACTGATGCCGATTTATAGTGCTAGCTCACTGAGATACCATGCCGCAGTTTAACATGAATACCACACTCAGACACAGTATACTGACTCCGAGCCGACCAGTCCTTGTTTTAGCCCCTTAATGTCGAGCGCCAGACAGGGTAACAACAAGTACCATCTTTAAACGTCTTTTGGTATGACGCGGCCGGGGATCGAACCCCGGATCTTCCGCTCTCCGGGCGGACGCTCTACCACAAGACCACGGAGGCGGCACGTTGAGATAGAAGTCACACAATGAACAACATGAGAATTTCGATTTAAACGGAAGAGCCAGGGCATGTGTAAGCTGAAATGCATTACAAATAATAAATTGAGGTCGAAAATATTATAATGATATTAGTTAGAACAGGTATTGTTTAAGTAACACTAGGAACAGGTTAAAACCAATGTGGCTCCACTCTACCATAGATCCGTGAAGATACCGGGGTAGAATAGGTCTTCAGCAACCCATGCTTGCCTTAAAAGGCGACTATGCTTGTCGTAAAAGGCGACTAACGGGATCGGGTGGACAGGGTTGCTGACTTGGTTGATGCATGTCATCGATCCAAATGGCGTTGATCGATGCTCATGATATCAATCACTGGATTCTCTGGTCCAGACTCGATTATTTACAGACCGCCGTCATATAGCTGGAATATTGCTGAGTGGGGCGTTAAACAACAATCCAACCAACCAACCAACCACTCTACCAAATCATTGGTTGATGGGTGGGTGTATGTCTTTATAAACACACACACACACACACACACACACACACACACACACACACACACACACACACACACCAAATGATCGTTGCTTATAAAATTGGCATTTTGTTCTGAGGTTCAATTGGGTGCAAGGGAGAAATGATATAACATGTAACTCCTGATTATTGCTGCGATGAAAAATAACACCAGATTCCTGTCATGGATATCAGGTTACCGATAGCTTAAAAGCACACGGATTGACTCAAATGTCTGCTGATGAGGTTCGTAAATGTAAAAAAACAACTACTGTAGCACCGTGATATTCTCTTTGTCATGATCGTTGTCACGATGGAGACTAATATTAACTCCGAACACGTCAAATCCGGGTCCAGTTGTGCTGCTCGCGTGGTTACGGTAATCTGACGTAAAAACAAACAGCTCATCACTCGTTTGATAGCATATATGTTTACCAAATGAAGGATATTAGGTTCTGGTCGTTCATTATGTATGATTGTGGATCCTCTAAGACATTTCTGCTATCTTCTCGCTGCTTTTTCCGGGGTTAGAACAAGTACGATAAGTGTAAGTATTAATGTTGTGTGAAAACATAATGTTATCATTTTATTAATTATGCATAACTGCGTGACGATAAGAGCCGGAGCACTATAAGTTTATTCAGCTGACATTTCACTTTTATAAAAATATCTTCAGATTTCCGTGGTATGATGTTTTTAAATATCATATTTAAACTCCCGGACAGAAGAATGTATACAGTCATGTTTGATGGCGGCTAGAAATGAAACGAGAAATGGTTATTCGATGGGGATATATTTGATAGGTATGATCATATCGACGAGTATTTTACAACAGGTCAGCCAAGAAGCGTTTTTGTAATTTTTGTTTGTTTTGTATTGTTTGTTGAATAACGCCGCACTCAGCAATATCCCAGCTATATGACAGCGGTCTGTAAATAATCGAGTCTGGACCAGACAATCCAGTTATTGACATCATGAGCATCGATTCACGCAATTGGGATACGATGACATGCATCAACCAAGTCAGCGAGCCTGATCACCCGATCCCGTTAGTCGCCCCGTACGACAAGCATTGTTTGCTGAAGACCTTTTCCAACCCGGATCTTCACGGGTCTGTAATTTATTGGTCAAATCCAATTTTCAAGTGCATGCTTTCTTTGACCCTGAAGTTTATGTCATGTTCTCCAATCCTGTCATTCACGGCAAGGGGTAGCCCTGAAACGTGTATGTGCATGAAGTTGTCATCCACAATACACCTTGTCATCTTACATCCAAATTCAAAATGCTTATAAACCCATGACTTTAACAAACAATGTATACAATCGATCAAAATGGAGATACAGGTAAATAATACCCTACATTAATACAATGACAACCGTTTTCTTGTGTCTGTTTTTATATTCTGTACATATGTTCGGAGACATTGCAACGTCAACACCCACAAACTTGAACAATGCGAAATATGCAGGAGTTGTTGGGGGGCATCCGGGTACATTCATGTGTAATCACATTCTCACAAATATCCTGATTTCTACCAAGATACTA